GGTGGTAGAGATCCAGCTACTTGAGCCATCATCTCCTTCCTTCCAGGGTACATATTAGCAGGAAGCAGGAATGAGAACCAAAGTTAGAACTCAAACCCATCCAGGTGTCTCCATCCACGGCTCAAACAAAAAGCCAAACAGTTTCCCCAAGCATCAACATTAAGGGATGCTAGCATCCCATATCGGAGTGTTGTTCTGAGTTTCTACTGCTCTACTTCTTTTTTTTTTAACTTTTATTTAATGAATATAAATTTCCAAAGTACGGCTTATGGATTACAATGGCTTCCCCCCCATAATGTCCCTCCCACCCGCTACCCTCCCCTTTCCCATTCCCTCTCCCCTTGCATTCACATGAGGATTCATTTTCAATTCTCTTTATATACAGAAGATCAGTTTAGCATACATTAAGTAAAGATTTCAACAGTTTGCTCCCACACAGAAACATAAAGTGAAAAATAATAGATGATTTTTTTTTAAATGATGATGAAATCAGATCAGACCTATTGTCATGTTTAATCCCAGTGAGAGTCAAGATGGGAGTTGATAATTTCTTCTTTTTTTTTTAACAGAAGATCAGTTTAGTATACATTAAGTAAAGATTTCAACAGTTTGCACCCCCATAGAAACACAAAGTAAAATATACTGTTTGAGTACTCGTTATAGCATTAAGCCTCAATGTACAGCACATTAAGGACAGAGATCCTACATGAGGAATAAGTGCACAGTGACTCCCGTTGTTGACTTTACAAATTGACACTCCTGTTTATGGCATCAGTAATCTCCCTATGCACCAGTCATGAGTTTCCAAGGCTATGGAAGCCCCTTGAGTTCTCCGACTCTTATCTTTAGACAAGGTCCTAGTCAAAGTGGAGGTTCTCTCCTCCCTTCAGAGAAAGGTACCTCCTTCTTTGAAGACCTGTTCTTTCCACTGGGATCTCACTCACAGAGATCTTTCATTTAGGTTTTTTTTTTTTTTTTTTTTTTTTTTTTTTTTTTTTTGCCAGAGTGTCTTGGCTTTCCATGCCTGAAATACTCTCATGGGCTTTTCAGCCAGATCGGAATGCCTTTAGGGCTGATTCTGAGGCCAGAGTGCTATTTAGGACATCCGCCATTCTATGAGTCTGCTGAGTATCTCGCTTCCCATGTTGGATCACTCTCCCCTTTATTTATTTTATCAGTTAGTATTAGCAGGTACTAGACTTGTTTATGTGCTCCCTTTGACTCTTAGTCTTTTCATTATCATCAATTTGGGGCAAGTCAGCTTGTCTACTGCTCTACTTCTGATTGAGATTCCTGCTAATGTACCCGAGAAGGAAGCAGAATGTGGCTCAATTACTTGGGATCCTGCCACTCATGTGTGACCCCTGTGTGGAGTTCTTGGTTCCTGGTTTTGACCTGGCCCATATCTGGCTATTGTGGCCATTTGGGGAGTGAACAAGTGAATGGACTCTCTATCTCTCTCTGGAGCTCTGTCTTTCAAATAAATTTTTTTTTGTTAAAAATCAACAACAAACTTTATCATGCTCTTCCAAATAATAGGTGAACAGTGAAAATTCCTGACACATTCTATTGGATGATGTCACCAAGAACACAAAACCAGATAAGGAAATCACAAGGGAAAAACTCCTACAGATCAAAATTCTTTATCGACGTAGATGCAAATACCTCAGCAAAATAGGAGTACAAGCAAACTGAAATGAGACACTTTAAAAATGATCACATATCATGACTGATGAGGATGCAAGGTTGATTCAATGCATAAAAATAAGTCAATGCAATATAGTGCATTTCTGGATAATGGAAGAAATACACAAAATAATATCAATAAAAAGCCCTTTTGAAAAATCATAGTTTTTTTGTTATAAAAAAATAAAGTAGCAATGATAAAATATCTGCAACCTAATTAAGGACATCAAAGAATAGCATAAAGCTAACATTGCACATAGAGGTGAGGGATTGAATACCTTCTACCACTCACCAAGAACACACAGAAAATCTACTTTCACTAATTGTATTCAACATTATACTGCAGGTCCTAGCCAGGGCAATTAGGCAGGAAAAACAAATAAAAGACATGCAAATTGGAAAGGAAGAAGTAAGACTCTATTAGCAGATGGCATGGTCTTAAATATAGAAAATTCTTACTAAACCACATAAAACTATTAAAACTATTAAATTCATTAGAGTTGCAGGGCACAAAATCAATGCACAAAAATCAGTTGTGTTTCTATAAATTAGCAATGAACAATCTGAGTAAGAAGTTAAAAAATAATTGCATTAGCTCCCCCAATGTATAAAATATCTATAAAGAAATTCAGCCAAGGAGCAAAAAAAAAAAATTGTATGTTGAATGTTGCTAAATGAAATTAAGGAATCTCTAAGTAAATTGTATTTACTTTATACACATATAAATATATTTATCAGTTTATTATTTGTAATGGAAGAATATCATGAACTCAAAGATTAGAAGACTTACTATGGTCTGCAGATTCAATGCCATGCCTAGCAAAATCCAATGATTTTTTTTTCGGAAAAGGGCAAATTGATCATAAAATCATGGAAATCTAAGGTACCCTGAGTAATCAAAACAATATTGAAAATGAATAAGAATGTTAATTAAGTGTATGAAAGAACTCAACTTTCCTGATTTCAAAACTTACTCTAAATTTATAATCATCAAAACAGTATAAAACTTGAATACAAATAGATTTGTAGATCAATGGGATAGAATTGTGAATCTATAGATAAAGTCATTTATGGTGAGTTGACTCTCAACAAAGTTTCCATGATCATATAATTGGTAAAAACAAAAGTGTTTTCAAGAAATGATGCTGGGATACTGGCTGTACATTTGCAAAACAATCAACTTGCACATCTGCTTCACACTATACACAAAAAGTAACTATATTGATATATACCAAAGTCCTAAATGTAAGAACTGAAACAATAAAACTCAGAAGAAAACCTAAGCCAAAATCTTCATTATCTCAGATTAGGCAGCTGTATCTTAGCTGACACCATCTTGTAGTCACTATTAAAGAGGATTTGCATTGCCTCCTATCTTCCCTAATACCAAGAGATTATGAATGGTTTAACGATTTGCTTATATTTTACTAATATTGTTGTTTGAAACAAAACCATTATTGTTTTGTTTGTATTTCTTTGAATGCTAGTGAAGTTAAATACGTTTTCATATATATATTTGACATTTTCATTTCCTACATTGTGTGCGCATACATGAATGTGTGCATGTATACTTTCATATTTATAGGCATATTTATAAATGTTTATATCTGTCTTCCTTTCTGTTCAAAACTTTCTGTACAAAAGTTTCCAAAGAAAACACCTTAATCTAAAACTTCACATCAGCTGCTAAATGGATAGAGAAAATATGTACATGTCATAATATTCAGTCATAAAAATGAATGAACTTTTGTCACCTGCAGCAACATGGATAGCACTGGAGGTTACTGTGTTGATGAAATAAACCAAGCACACACACACAAAAAGGATTGCATTATTTCACTCATATGAGAATCTAAAAAGTTGATCTCATAGAATTTATGTATATCATAGTGGTTACCTCTTTATAACTTTCATTTTTAGGCTAGGGAGGGCAGCAAGGAGGGAAATGTAGGGAGTGGTTATTTAATGTGTTACAGTTAGATAGGAGTAAGTATTCTGGTGTTATCTTACATAATAGGGTAACTATAGATATGCAAGAAAACTGGGAAAAGGATTTTGAATGTGCAATAAAGAAGTGTAAAGTGTTTGAAGGCATAAATGCATTTATCCTGATTAGAATTTACACAATGTGTTTTTCAGTCAAACCAAAACATGGTACTCCATGAACATGTACAACGTTAATTTGTCAATAAAAAATAAAATAAAATGTTTACCATTTGGTGCATGCAAATACAATGTGTTTCTGTAAAATGTTTTATAATAATGACTCAACAGCAGGTGAAGTGAATTTATTTTTCTACTTTTTATTCCTACTACTACTGTCATATTCCTAGACGCATTCACTCTTGATTGAATAGAATTACTGCATTTTGAATTACTAACTGTTGTAGGTGAGGAGAAAAAAAGCTTCTTTATCCTAAGGGAAAGTAAAAAACAAAATACAAAGATTTCAAAATATGAATTAGAATTCTTTTAACATTTTCATTTTCTTTTCATATAATGTGTCCCCTGTGTGCCTAATTAAGCTTCTTTTGGATCTCTGATAAATAGGAGATTGTAACAATTCTGCTGGCTGATGTTATGACTTACCTCCTGGGTTGTCACCTGCTTTCTTTTTAACAATTGTGATTTAGCTGCCTACTGACTGAACAGCCTTCAAATGAAGCAATTGGATTACTTTTTAAACCAACAAAAGTATAAATATTCTTTAAAAAAGTGATTTATATATTACAACTTTTTGTTTTAGTGGCTTGTTTTATTTTCTATTGATTCTACAATATGTTATGGACGAAAATATATCTTCACAATTCTAAGTAGTTCAGAATTAATTTCTTACTTCCATAGTCATACTGAAATGAAGAACTGGTTAATTTGAGTTCCATTGTGATCACAGGTGTGACTTATTTTTCCATTGGTTATCATGATTCAAATCAAGAATAAACAGATCACCCGAAGGCTTTGGGTAGGATTTTTGAAAACAAAATAATATTAATGGACAGTGTGTCTATTTTAAAAGCCTGCCTTTACCAATAGATAATTTTATTTCAATATCTCCATTCCTTTTAACCTCAAGTGAACTTAAAAATAGAATTAGTGATTCAAATTGAAAGTGTTATCAGTTATTAACCTCAAGAAATATAACAACCATTCATGATAATTAACTACATTGTATTTCTCCAGAGTTTTTTTTTTTAACTTGATAAAATGGCACTGCAAGTAATTTTGAAGAAAGAAAAGTAATAAAAGAAAACCTACATCCTTGCTGTCCTGGTTGGACCTGTTGATGTTGTTGGTTCCTGTATTTTCTCTTGCAGGAGTAACCACTGTACTAACAATGACAACTCTAAGCATCAGTGCTCGGAATTCTCTTCCCAAAGTGGCATATGCAACTGCCATGGACTGGTTTATTGCTGTTTGTTATGCATTTGTGTTCTCTGCTCTGATTGAATTTGCAACTGTTAATTACTTCACCAAAAGAGGATGGGCTTGGGATGGGAAGAGTGTAGTAAATGACAAGGTAAGTGAGAAGTTTCTTCTTATAATTCACAAAATCCCCTAACAAATTCAGTTTGTAACATATATTATTCTTTTTTTAACTTTTATTTAATAAATATAAGTTTCCAAAGTACAGCTTATGGATTACAATGGCTCCCCCCCCCCCCCGCGTAACTTCCCTCCCAGCTGCACCCCTCTCATCTCCCACTCCCTCTCCCATTCCATTCACATCAAGATTCATTTTCAATTCTCTTAATATACAGAAGATCAATTTAGTATATATTAAATAAAGATTTCAACAGTTTGCACCCACACAGAAACATAAAGTGTAAGATACTGTTTGAGTACTGGTTATAGCATTAACTAGTACAAATATTATCCTAAACACTGAAATATGAGCATCCATGCACATATACTGATTTATTTTAAAGTGTATTCTTGCCTGAATTCCTTTAGGAGTGCTTATAGTGGTAATGCTTCTTTTATGAGATTCTGTGTCATGCACTGTGCTAAGCCTTTTACCTTGCTCTCCCAGGTCATTTTGCAGCAACCTTATAACTTTGTTCTCTTCTTGATTCTTATTTTCTGCTGTTGAAAATGCTAATGGTTGGTAAAGTTATGTGCTTGCTCAAGCTCACACTGCTGGTTAGTAAATATACTTGAACCCAGTCTCTAATCCAACCATCCAGTTCATGCTCATAAACACCATACAGCATCATGATAGCGTTATAAAAGGAAATAGGCATTAACTACTCCTATTGCAGAATTCCAGGCTTTATCAGTGGATTCATCAATGGATCAATAGCCCCATATGTGTTGCTTGGTTATAAAAGCCTTGGTAGCATTTTTACCTTTGTACAATAAACACGTAGGCACTGGAATGTTGAAGAGTTTTAAATTACTCCTATGTTCTAAAAGGGCAAAATTACTTGTTTTTAAGATTAACTTCTTTTGAGATTATTGGTATGCAGTTTTAGATTCAAAGTACTGAAGCCAGTACTTTGTGCATTGATAGCCAGTCCTTTCCTTTTTTATTTTGTAGATCATTATTTATTTACCTGATAAGAAGGCTTTAAATGTATCATAATGAAATATATTCTTAGTAGTAGTACAATATTATATTAAGATGATTTCATTTAAGACTATATCTTACTAAATGCTGCTTTGCAATAAAGACAAAGTTTTTAATTTCCTTTTTAGTGATTTGAGTATATATTATTTCAAAATATATGTTTCACTTCTATGACCATATTGCAGATTAAGCATACAAAGATGGAATGTTAAGAGTTAAAAGTCTTGCATTTTTTCTTAATTGTGTATGCTATAAAATTTTAATAAGAATGCTGTTTTATTTCATTTAAATTGTACTTAACTTACAGAGCCAACCAATAAATATTAAAAGGAATATGATCAATTTTGTATGCATAACTTCTGGATGACTTCGGCATTTCCATTACCTTCTTTTTTATTTATGCTTTCATTTCCCATATAGTATACTGCTTTTTCATTTATATATGCAATTGCTTCTTTTTAGCTACCTTTGTTGTACATGCAGTCTCACACAATTTCTTGAAAGTAAAATATTAGTCTTTTGTAAATGTTACAAAAATTATAAATTATGTTTTGTGATATAAGTGCACATATAGAAATGTATTGATATGTTATATTTAATGGTAGAGAGTATCAAATGGGCATTGCAATTTGGCATATCAAACGATGTGACTTTTAAGTTCCTAAACTTGATAAACGGAAGTACTTCTAAGTGAAAAAAAGTTTTTGAGAATGCATTCTAAGAGCAAGAACTTACTACTGATGAATATGTAGTTTACCTGCATGTCAAGTCATACATAAGCAAGATAAATCTATGTTAAAATTCCTGATTTTCCAACATAATTTTCAGGAAAACAACACTGTTTATGTAACTACACTCCATGTGGTTTATTTAAAGAGAAAATTACAGCAGGCACATTACTTGTTCTCATTCGCTTTTCTAAGGCTAGCATGCCTAGCGCAGTACCTAGAACTTAGTAGGAATTTAAAAAAATACTTGTTGAATAAATGAATTTCTGATCTTCAATCTGGAAGTTAGATGGCATCTTTGTATGAAAAGGTTTTTAAAGCTTTACAATGATGAATTTATAAATGATCACTCAGATTTCATGATACAAATGAATTTTAGAAAATATTTCTGAATTTTCTTTGGAATAGCCAGGCCCTTAGAAATAAAAAGAATTTTAGTACAATGGACAAAACAAGCCTAGCTGCCTAAAAGATATTTCAGGACAGTCTACTTTTGCTTCATTTTTCAGAAATTTAATTTTTAAGGAAAAAACAGTATTTTTTTTTTAACAGGCAGAGTGGACAGTGAGAGAGAGAGACAGAGAGAAAGGTCTTCCTTTGCCATTGGTTCACCCTCCAATGGCTGCCGCGGCTGGCGTGCTGCGGCCAGCGCACCGCACTGATCCGATGGCAGGAGCCAGGTACTTCTCCTGGTCTCCCATGGGGTGCAGGGCCCAAGCACTTGGCCCATCCTCCACTGCACTCCCTGGCCACAGCAGAGAGCTGGCCTGGAAGAGGGGCAACCGGGACAGAATCCGGCGCCCCAACCGGGACTAGAACCTGGTGTGCGTGTGCCGCAAGGCGGAGGATTAGCCTAGTGAGCCGTGGCGCCGGCCTAAAACAGTATTTTTTATGTCTTTCAGACTAGCCTGTCTAGGAAAGATCCTTCACTTTTGACATTTGTAAACATGTAGATTCAGTTAAATTATTTCTCCATTCAAAGAGCATGTGAAAAGAACTTAGAACTTGCAAATAGGAAGTATAAATTTGCTTTATTGTAATAATTACTCAAAGATAACGTTAATATTGTGGTAAGAAAATTATTTAACATATTTACATATAGATCGCACAATCTGCAGTTTATAGGTAGATTGTAGTCTGATATCTAAAACTAGTTTCACAAATAAATTAATAAATCATCTTATTTATAATTAAGCTATTTTTAAACCATATGTTAGAAAACAAAGAACATTTTGTTCTCCGGTTGTTCAGGACTTTACACTTGTTTTAGACTGCTGTGAAATAAGGCAAGAAAACCTTAACCTACTAATGTAATGCTGGTCAAGAGAGCTGACTCCAGATTTGTGTACTATTCCATATATAAAGGTATCTGTGCAACTCACAAATCCTTCTGGAAGTTTCTTTCTTACCCTGTATTCCTCCTTTTGCCTAAAGCTAATACTTTCACTAGAATAAATAATTAAATAGCTCTTAATTCTTTTCCTGGTTTCTTTCTCAAACTTCTCCATCAGTTATTATTTTCTTGTCTTGTTTCTTACATCTCATGTTTCCCGTTTTTAACTACTTTTTGTTCCAGCTAATGACGCTGCTTACTATGCTTAATTTACTGTAAATGCAGAAACAAAACTCTCTCCAGATCCTATGTCAGTACCTTATTCCCTCCTCAGATTCTTATTTTCCATTCAAACTTTTTGAAGGTATTGTTTACAATGTTATCTTATTGTATTCGGGGGTCTGTTTGCTTGGGGAGTTGCTAAATAATCAGACTTAAGCAGGAATTGCTGAAAGAAAAGCTTTATTTACTTGTGACAAACAAGGAGGCAGACAGAAGGTACAGTTCCCCAAAGAAACTGCCTCCTTAGGAAGGAGCTTGGCTTGAGATTTCATAGCAAGGAGTAGGGGGGCAACCAGGACCCTGCTTGCAATATTCATTCAGGAAGTAGGAAATGGGGATGGAGAAGTGCTTTCCTGATTAAGAAACTTGCAACTTCACACGTTCTGTTTTCAGAGTCAGACTCAGACCTGTCTCTTGCAGCTCTCTTTTGTTTGTAGTGGTTTGACTCTCTTTGAGTCCACCTGCAAAATAAGCCTTCCTGGAACATCCTATAAAAAACAAGTTCAAGCCAGTAGGCTATTTTCACATCCACTGCCCCCTGTTCCTCTGCCTCCTTTTTGTTTAAATCCTGTGCTGTTCGTTACACTTTCAGTTCAATTCTCTACCTACTAAAATCTGCTTTTCCTTTCCACTTACTGTCCTGCGACTGAAAGGCAGCAATAACCTCTTTAAGATCATAATAATTTTCCACTTTTTCTCAAAGGATCCCCGTGGAACGTTTCTACCGTTATGCTAGAATCCTATATAAGACCCAATTCAGCAACTTTCTGTCTGCTTTTCCTCCTTAACACAGGCCTCAGAATATCAGCTTCTTTCCTCCACTTCCTGGCAGCTGCCACTATTCATTCTATGCTTTGAGATTCTCTGCCAGAGTTCAGAGTGAATCCAGCCTCCCTCACATCTGTTCCTTAGAGAGTCATTTCAGCTTTCTTTTATGCTCTTTTTTGTTTTCACTCTTCACTGTGTGACTCTCCATTTCAGGGTTTCACTAACAATATCTGCAGGCATGCCTGCAACACGGAGCACAAGGGCCACCTATTTACCATTCCCGACCAGATACGCAGGGCTCATCCTCAGCACAAATGTCAAATCCTCAAGGAAACTCTGAGCCATTGCCTCCCGCCACCCACAATTAGATCCTCACTGTCAGTAGTACAGTGTGCTGCTCCTTGGCCTTAGAGCCCTCACCATAGGTTATAAATGCACAGGCGTGTCTTAACTCTTCCATAGATAATGATATAACTATCTTTGTTTTTATAAATCATTTATCCTTGGCACTCTCTATAGTGTCTTGCATATTTTATGTGTTTGGTATTATATATGATGAGGTATTGCTAAATCAAAATCTATAACTCTTATCATTGATAACCATGCCCTACACTTTCCTTAACTTTCAGAATCTACCTGAGTGTCTCAGTTTCCACATATCTTTAATAAAAATGTATAAAAGAGACAAGCAAACAAGATACAATCATTCTTCTGTCCAGGCCCAATTATTCATCATTAATCAGTACTTCAGTTCATGCCACAACCCAGTCCCACAGGTTAGCAACTTGCAGGTTTCTCTCGATATATAGCTAGTCATAAAATCTTGTCCATTTTTCTTCCTCAGTGCCTTAGACCATGTATTCACCATGTCATTATTTTTAGTTTCTCCATGGCTCCCTCTCTCTAATAATGTCTTCCTTTAATCCATCTTCTACAATACTCTCAGAGTTATTCCTTTTTAAAATTTTTTTGAGATGAACAGACAGTTTACTCCCCAAGCATCTTCAGTGGCCAGGGCTGGGATGGTGTCAAGGCCAGGAACTTGGAATTCAACCCAGTTCTCCCATATAAGTAGGAGAAACCCAATTACCTGAGACATTACTTCTACTTCCTAGGGTTTGCACTGGCAGGGAACTGCAGTTAGAAACCAGACAGATTTCACACCCATGTGTACAGATGTGAGATGCAGGGCTCATTACTTCTAGTCCAAACTCCATTCCCCAGAGTTATCACTCTAAAATATTAATCAGATCCGTTAATTTCAGATCTTTAATTATTGAAAGCAATTATTTAAGTAGTAAGTATTTAAGTAGATAAGCTTATATGATCCATATACTTGCTTGCATTTTGAGCAGTAAAATAGTTTGTATTATTTATTATGCAGTTACTTCTATTGTACCAGAAAATACTTCTGTTTTAGATCTGAAGATTTTCCAAGGGAAGTTACTAGGTCAGGATTATACACCTTATACATGGTAGATCCAAGACCCAGGATCGATCCAAATGTCATGCTTTTATTATTTTCTTCCCCTACCATTAGAAGTCAGTCATTTTCCCAAACATATTGCCTTTTCATGTGTCTCTGATATAAGATATGCTGATCATTCTTTTATAATACCCTCTCTTTGCTTACCTGATGAACTCCTACTTATTCCTTAAGATCTGTCTGATTTTTCTTAGTCTCAAAACTTTCCAGACTCACTGACAAAATTTCTACCCCTTCACTGTGTGCTTCCATGGCACATGGCAAAAATTCCTTTTATAATAGCTCTTTGAGTTATAGTTTAATTATAAGTAAATCTTTTTCTAACCCTAGGTTACAGGATCTGAGAGAATATTTTTGTATCATTAACTATTGTATCTACTGTTACCTAGCACATCTGGCATATAGCTTATTGAGTTATGTGTAAAATATATTAACTTTAATTCTTGAGATTGTTTTGTTTCTGAGTCTTGAGTCAGTACATTTCAATGGGCTAAGAAAACGTGGAAGATGCTAGACAATGTATTTAAAACATACACATTGCAGCATAATATCCATAATATCTTAGGGAATGTGCCAGTGTTTTGTGAGTCACTCTATTATATTCATAGGCAATACTGTATTTTCAAGTGTGTTTATTCATTCATTCACATTTTTAACATCTTACCGTGTTTCAGAAGCATTTCAGGCTGTTTATCAAGAAAATGCATGCATTTAAGTAGAACTAAATAAGGTAGAATCAGAAGTAGAAAAGCAGAAAAACAGACTCATATATGTCCACTGCTGGGCCAGCACACTAGCTACAGTCTATCGTTATTAGTAGTTGAGCTTCACATTCTGAGTTTTTTTTTTTGTTTGTTAATTGAAATAGCATATAGGGGAATAAAATTATTTTTCTTTAAACAAAAAGTTGAAACATGAATGAGAAAAGGTTTTCCATATACTGAAATCACTTTCTTAGAAAACAAAATATGTGGATATTCTGTTAGAGAAAGCTGGTACTGTAGCAAGTGATGTCAGATTTTTCCCAATAAATGCTGTAATAAATTTCATATTGATGTTTCTTGTAGTCCCCTTCAATAAAAGCTGAAGTCATTACATTAACATACAACTCAGTGAAAGCAATTCTTCAAGGAGCTAAACTAATATGGTCCAAGTACATAGCTATCTCATGGCCCAGTTTAATCCAAGGAAAGACTTTAGAGTACTTAGAGAAGTGGATGGACTGTTTAACCTTCAAACAATCTTCTGTAAGTATCACTTTTCTCAGTCAGGATGGTTTTCAGACAGTTAACAGTAGCTTTACCTGACCAGGGAGCATGTTGTTGTTTTACAAGTAATGGGCTTTTTGGTAGCCACAGTAACTGTAAAAAGGCAACATGGTATGGTTTCAGTATTTGATACTAGAGCCCCGTTTTCTTGTTGGAAGGGACAGTCTCTGAGATACTTTCCAACTCTGAAGCCATGTGACTGTGATTTTCATTTATTTGCTAGTTCACTTCGCTTATAGGTGTCTGTGTTTCAGCGAGAGCATTTGCTCAAATTACTAGCACCTTATTTTCTCTCTCTCTTAAAGGAAGTCTGCTGCCACAATGGTGTATGGTACTTTGATATCTCTAATCAGGAATTTTCTAGATTTCATATTTTAAATATATAGCCAGTGACCCAGAGCAATAAAATATCCCAAATCCTATAAAACATCATTTACAAAATAGAAAATCAACTTATATTCCTCTTTCATTTCACTTAAGTGTCAACTGAGCTGTCAACAAATTCTAGTGTCATGGTCTACTTACCCGCTCCAGGTAGAGCATAAAGATACATAATTTATTGGTTTTGTTTCTAAGCCAAATAAGTCACATCCTCAACCATTTGTATGTCAGCCACAAGTACAGCCATTGTTTATTATTTGAGCTTATTTTAGTAGTTTCCAGTCTTCCACATTTGTAGATGGTGAAATTAAGGAATTTCAAGAAAATTAAGGAATTTCAGGAAAATTACATAAGAGAATTGTAAACTAGTTTATGGAATTCTGTTTCTACCAAAGTATGCAGCATATAATGCATATTATGTTAAGCTAGTTATTATATCTATATATGTTTTTACCTTGTAGTCATTCTAGCACATGTCATTCCTTCATCATTGAATAAAGGTTTTTTTTAGTCAGCTCTGTGCCTGGAACTATGCTAGAAGCTGTGCAGTGCAGTTTGTGTTTTCAAGAAGCTTACAGTTAATGAAGAGAAAAAGAGAAGTAAAAATAATATCTACAAGTGTCCTTACAGAGGAAGCAACAGATAGCATTGGAAGGGCAAGCAAGTGATTCCTAATGTAGGCAGTAAGAGCCTGGTGATGGGAAATTGAGGTAAAATACATCTGATTAGGGACCAAATTTAGAGTTAATTATGAGTTCCTGGTTCCATTATGGTATCACTAACAGATGAGAAAATACAAGGATGGCTGGGAGGGTGTATAGTTTGGAGCAGGAAGTGAGAATAAATTTGAGTAGTCCATTCCTGGATGTTTTGTGTTTTTTATTAGCTGGAGTACATGTAAGTGTAAAAGTCCAGTGAAAGAATGGTAGTTACGAATCATGAAAGGATACTGTAGCAATTATGCATGTGAAGGAATCAAAAGCCATAGAATTGCTTAAAATTAATAGAAATTAACTGTCAGTTTGCCTTCATTTCCTCCATTTACCACCTGATTGATTCTGATCTTAACTTTTAATGCTCCTCTTTTTAACTTCAGACACTTAATGTGCACTTTTAAATATTTTTGATCATGTGTGACCTTATTCTTCAATTGATATGAAGTGGCCTAAATTCTGTAAAGTGTAAATATAGCACTAAACTAGACTATAAGAAATTAGGGAATAAGAGCTGTTAGAATTTTTTTCTAATTTAAAAAAAAATCAATTTTAAAAATTTAAACCAAAATTGTATAAGGTCACGGGCAAGGGCGTTACAGTTTTTTTTTTTTTTCTCATGGTGAGTATTGTTTTGAACAGTTATACAGTAGATTTCATTCACTGATTCTTTTCAAATGTCTCAGTTTAGTCAGAGGCCATTAAATAAAATAAGTCTAGTGAAGTCCAAGTCATGTGGTCCAAGTATTCAGTCTGCTGGTTCTCTGGATTGATCCAAAGCCTTTTTGATATTCTAAGAAGTCTTTAAACTACAATTTCCCTCAACACAGTGTTTTTATTTTAATACCAATTGACACTAAGTAGGACAATTGGTAATAGTTTAGGTAAAGTAAGGATATGTTTGGTACTATCACTAACAAAGCTATGTTATGAAGAACAATAGTAAAGCTTATTAAATGGACTTGATCTTTCAGGATAGAAGATACTCAACTTTTGAAGATAAAAGAGTTACAATTCAGTTATGAATCAACAGTAGTTTTCTCTCTATATCTTTTTTTAAATGAAGAGGAACTACTCATTTTACTGTAGCTTTGGGTTATTATTTTCAAATGCACTGAAGGGAGTTATTTTCTTCCTTTAGAGCAAGACTTTGTCAGATTCTGAGCCAGAAAAGCATAGTGGTGTTATGGCTAAGGATTGAGAAGATGTAGTATAATAGGGATGCCTTGCCCTCATCCAGTGAATTTATAAGCAATTACAGGTGCCAGCCACTGGGATCTTGAGTAAAGATAGTACTTGTGTCTGTTACATATTGTTTTTTTACTGGTCCTGAAAATGGTACTGTTGCCAAGTTTCAAGGTAGCATTTTGAAGCCAAAACCATCACCTTGTTAATGCTGAGCCCTCCTGTATGGTTGGCACTTAAATTCAGAAATTTAAGCCATACTTAGAACAATAAAAAAAGAATATTTTTCCTTTATAGGAAAGGTAGTACACATTACAAACACATATTGGAATTATTTTTAGCACTGCTCTTTCTAGAATGCAGAGTGTTAAGGTAAAATTTAAAAAAAAACACACAATGTACACATATATGCATGGCCAGTGATACTTCGCTAATGCATGCTGGTAGAGCTTTTCTGGTTATTTATAACCAATGTTCATTCTGATTGGTCAGAGGATCTCTTCTGATTGATTAGTTACTCTCATCTAGACTTTGTAAAAATTTTAGTATTCCCTGTGATTATCTAAGCACTTGAAGGGCATTCAAGTGGGGAGCAAGAAAGGTTAGTAGAGTTTCTATTTATAGATTTCTGGGCAACTTAGGACATTTATAGTTTATGTTTCTTTATCTAATTGTCTAAATCCTACACTATAATTTCTGATGCAATTTAATCGCTCACTTTCATAAAACTTTCCTTGTGTTTTTCCATATAATGTGTATCCATTTTTATTCCAAATACAAAATAGATTATGTTACCTTTACATTTTTTATACCAGGAATCATTGTCCAGGTTGTAATAGTTATGATTGTCACTCCACTCCATGTGGAGTGTGGTTGTACTGTACATTAGTTCATTTGTGTATCACCACGGGTCGATATTGCTGTGGTATTTTATTTCACTTTATTGAAACTAGGAACTAAGCAGGGAGAGGTAAAGGAACTTTCCCAAAGCCCAGATTCTCTATGAATGTCAATTTAAATGATGTTTAGATATAACTGAAATAATATAAATGTTGTATGTTACATATTTTCTGGGTTAAAGAGTCCTTTTTGAAAGTGGACCCTGCAGTATAAACCTCAACTGTAATATTTTTTGGAAAAAACAAAAATATTCCCAAGTTTTGAGCAGCTTCCTCAGACAGAAAGTCTTGCAGCATAATTTAAAAGTGGAGATACAGAAGTCAGACATATCTAAGTTTGGGTGCTTATTTGGCCATTTAGTAGACAGGAGATTTGGTCAAGTCACAAAATCTCTCTAGCCTCCCATTATGAAATTATAATAGATTAATACTGGAATTTACTTCCTATCCAGTAGTAAAAATTTCCAGAGATGACATCTCAGCTTGCACTCATCCTGACTCATCCTAGTGCTCAAAAGATGTTAACTGTCCTTCCCTTATCAGGTTCACATTTGGAGATCATTCTCCATTTGTAATATGTGGGCAACATGCATTATTATGAAGGGAAGCTGGTTCATAGCTTTTGTAAAGTTATAAGCGGTAGTCCCTCATCTCTCCTTTTAAGCTGCAGACAGTTCTGGAAGAATATCTTATAAGCAGGGGAAAGAGGAGAGGGCAGAACCCAGACCAATGAAGTACAGGAGTCTTTTTCAGATCCTCCTTAGCTTTCAGAGTTCTTTTGTTATTTATTTATTTATTTATTTATTGACAGGCAGAGTGGAGAGTGAGAGAGAGAGACAGAGTTCTTTTGTTATTTTACCTGAATGTTTTGAGAACTCCTAACTAAAATAACTGTTACTCACAATTCTGTTCCAGGCCGTTTCTTTTCTTGTAAATCGTTTGCTTTACACATTTAATCTGAGACCAAAATTTGAGAGGGATTTAGTTGGTTATATGAATAACAGAGTGGGAATACGGCTTTCTAGGCTGGGGAAGTAGCACAGCCAAAGGAACTGAAGCAAGGACGCATTCTGAAAATTGAAGCTATTTCAGTAGTGCCAGTAGCCAGTGAGTCAGGAGAGGTGGCTATGGTAAGAAATGATCCTTTTATCCTGAGTTCCTTGAGATGGTGTTTAAGAGATTTCAGAGTAGGAATGATATGATCCAGTTTATATCTTAAAAAACTCATTTGGCGATTGTGTAGCTAATGATAAGACTATGTCAAGACAAGCTGAAAGAGTACAATGGAATGTTGTGTGTTCTGGGCAGGAGGAAGTGGTGACCTAAAAGATCTGGTGACAACTGAACTGGAGGTTATAAAGTGAAAGTTTGGGGATGACCTAGGTGAAAATCCAAGAGATTGTATTTTATTATCCTTCTATGTTTTTATTATGTTTTACACTGCCATCTGCATAAGGTTACAATATTTTCCCATCTAAGTAAAGCAGATGATTTACTATAAACTGTAGACTATATACTATATTAGTGTATAAGTTATATCAAGTTAGAAATATGGGGGTCACTCACTGTAGATGACAATTCCTCTTGTTAAAATATTTTTTCATTTCACTGATTCATTCACTCATTCAATGGATATTTAAGTGATTCAGATAAAAACCAATTTATATTATAAAATTGATGTTATATTTTTCTATTGCTTATTTTCCATATAACTAACAAAAAAAGTTCTCTGGAGAAATGGTAATCTTGATTTTATGCTGGGTATTTCCTCACTATTGGTTTTTAGATTTAATAAACTAATTTTATTTATTTCTCTTAGTTCCTTTTTTCAAGTGAATAGTGATATGTATCAGGATGTTTTTCTTCAGAACTTGAACTGAGGTTTGGAAAAGGTTAAGTATCAGGCTCAACCCACACTCTGTTAATTTTTGTGTTTTCTCAATAGAAAAAAGAGAAAGCTTCTGTCATGATACAGAACAATGCGTATGCCGTGGCTGTTGCCAATTATGCCCCGAATCTTTCAAAAGACCCAGTTCTCTCCACTATCTCCAAGAGTGCAACCACGCCAGAACCCAACAAGAAGCCGGAAAACAAGCCAGCGGAAGCCAAGAAAACCTTCAACAGTGTTAGCAAAATTGACAGAATGTCTAGAATAGTTTTCCCAGTTTTGTTTGGTACATTTAATTTAGTTTATTGGGCTACATATTTAAACAGGGAACCTGTATTAGGAGTCAGTCCTTGATTCTGGATCCAGGTTTTCTTTGGGATGTATAGCAACATTAAATATGGTTTGTTTTACTGTAAACAGTCTGACTAATAACTGCTAATTTGTGAAGCCAAAATGTATAGTATGTATATACTGATACAGCTTACCAGTAGACCTTTAATGGAGATATGCATTTGCTAACTCGTGGAACTGTGGGCAGAAAGTACCCCATGCCAAACGAGCCATTGCCTTTTTAAAAGATTTGCCCTAGGATGAACTGATTTATTTCCTACTCTAATAGTGATAAAAGTGTAAATCCTTTATCAGCCTTTATGGACCCTTTTGATTTAGGTCTTAAATAGACGAACTTTCTTCTGTTACCTAAATGTGATGGAATATATAACATCATTCAATGATGAACTGTTCTAAATAGCAGAATCTATTCACAACATCAGTTATATCCATGAGTGCTTCAGATCCCTGCTAGTAAAATTGGAAGCTTGGCACATATAAGAAAAACTAGAGATTTTAAATCAGCTTTTAACTGTTCTGTATAGTGTCTATAACCATGTACATATTACAGCATGACTGTACTTATGTTCAGAGACAAGATATTAATTATGCCTATGATTTAGTGACTTTTGGAATGTCATGGTCATTACATTTTTAGCTTAAGAATTTATTTGAAAGTATTTATTTGAAAGTATTCATTGAAATCCTACAATTTATTTCAATCATTGGAAACAACCTTAAATTCTAAGATTTTACTCTCTCCAGGTATGTGTTGTATTGAAATTGATCAGCTAAATTTTATTGGTGCTGGAGACTGGAAAAAGCATCCAGTTGGTTGCTGTGGAGCAACATTCATAATGGATCAGAAAATTGTGCCAAAAACTCCCACTGATGAGAATCCATAGGTGTCCTGGACTCCAGATGAGCACTTATCTGATTCTCCTCTTTCCTGTTTACTGCAAATTTTGCCTTAAGGCTTCTTTTCATCAGGACTCAGAAGCCACTAATTATAAAGGAAAGGGCAGTTAATTGGCACATTTTTCTGTCTGAAAGCAGCTCTTTCAGATATGAATTAATGTAAATCTGCTTTTGTAAATTGCAACTTTAAATTTCACTGACTCAAATTTACAACAGCTTTATATACCAGAAGTGGTTTTGGTAAGAGTTGAACATTTTTAAACTGCAACTTTAAAACATCACTCTCAGATTGTGGGTTATTTCACATGCACAAACATGAACACATGCACACAAACAGGTAAATTAGAAACCACAGTTTTCAATTTTATATTATTACAAATGATTAATGAATAAATTCATTTTTCTTTGAATATTTAAAAATACTCTTTATGCCCCTGATATGGTAATAAAAGTTAACAATTGTATATCGTGCTAGATTCAAAGTTTTTGGCAAACCTAAAATACTTTTGATTGACATGTACATTAGCAGTTATTAGTTGACTTTTACTAATAGATACACCTTTCTGGTGGTGTTTTGTAGAAACATAAGTAGTCAAATAGTGGCATTTTCTGCAGTTTTGTACAGTATTAAGTGTAGTGCATAAATAGATATGTTCATAAAATCAATAAAAGTATCTTATGGAAAGTAGCAAAATCTCAACAAAAATTGCAATTCCTTACCTCCTTTTTTTTTATTCATTTTATTTGTTTTAATGTGATTCTATTATGTGCTTTGCATGACTGTATTATTATCAAGGTCACAAATGCATCTTATCACCAGATTTTGTCTTGAAGACAGACTTGACGTTAAACATTCCCTCATAAAACAAAATCCATTATCCTTAATAAAATAAAATTAAACTTGTTACATGAGCCAATAAATGTATTTCTTTAATTCCCCTCCATAACACCCTCTTTGTAATCTCAATAGTTTTAAAAAGTGCACTTTATTCATACACTGAAATAGAAGATATCCTATTTTCATAAACATTAAATATAGCACTGCTCTTAGGGAAGTGTGCAATAGTATGTGAAAGTATGCTTGAAGGCAAGCAATAAAAATGCTGTCTATGGTATGTATTACTAAACACTTTAAGGAGATTTTCCTTGTAAGATTTTCATTTCCTGCTTAATGTCTAACAATGAATTATACAATTATAAATATGTACATATGTAAAAATAGTTGTAAATAAAAGTTTCTGTAGGATAACAGAAAAATTCATCTATTCGTTGGGCAGAGGGCTGCGACTGCATTCATGGCATCAGTTTTATGATTGTTTATGGCAGATTTGCGAGGAATTTTATTGTTATGATTGTTATTCTTCAATTGAATCAGAGGTTTTAATTTCAACTGTTAAAGTCTCATTTGAGCATTCTGACAGTTCATATTTTCCAATAATATAGATCAGGACTTATTATTATTTCTCTAAATTCGGTGTATTTTTTGTGCTCTTCTTATTCTGCTAAAGGTTAGATAAATTAAAAGGAGCTTTTGTCCTTGCTGGAGACAGGAAGGTTGCTCCATGGCAAAGGATTCTAAATTATAAACCTGATTCATTACAGTTATTTTCCATTTTATAAGCCTGATTAAAAACACAAAATAAAAATGGTATGTGTTTATCATATTACATCCCAGTTTTCAGGAAGCACTAACAAAAAATTACACTTATAATATGCAGTTGAACAGTGGCATAGGAGTTATGGTCTGTACAAAATGTAGATAATTACACATGCATTCAAAGAAGTATAAGCTCATTAATGTATAGCAAATACTGTCATCCAACTAATATTTTTTACCTCCTATTTTGTGTTATGTCCTGGAGTTGTTGTTAGTATCATTCATCTCACACCTACAGAATTCAGTCAAAAATCAAAGTGCATCTCATTTCTATTGATAAAGACTTAACATCAGAGACTAAATGAAATCTGTATTTAAATGTGACTAAAGGAGTTGTTTAATGAGCTTTGATACTACTGGTATGTCAAGATGGTGGCTGTTTTGCTCTGTACTGCCATCTATGTTCGCATTTGATTATAGAAATGGAACTAATACAGCCATTTAATATATTTTTTAAAGTCTTCAGTAAGTTTTAAATAGCAGTCTATTGTTCAAAAATGTTTTCAAGGGTCTCTCTATTACAAACTTACCTCGGGTTTGGATACGTGATTCCCTTGATCCATGTTTCTAATTTTATATTTTTGCTAAACTCATAGTTTATTTTAAAACAACATGGGAACTATTATTTCACTCTTACTTTTCCTTTGTTAAATATATTTAGTAAGATATAGCTCCTTGTATTCTTTCTCTATATTCTTATAGGTAGACCAATATCTCAAATGCTCTCTAGTGTCACTTTTTGTGTTCCTGGTTGAGGAAACTCAACTATCCCATGATGTTACCATGGAGCCTAGAAGAGCACCAAAACTCTCTAAATACTGTATTGGGGCATGGCTTGACATCATCCCAATGAGAGAAGAGAGGAGGTTGCTCAAGTCATCTTTTGCATTGTCATGGTTTTTCAGCATCTATTAAGGGTTTGTTCCATTTTCTTCATACTTAATATCTTTAGACATACTTCTGTGAAACATAGAAACGTGTATTACTTAATTTGAAATCTGGGTCATATTAATAGGTTTACTAAGCAAGTCATTCCTGTTATTAGTCTCTGGCACACCTACATCCATTGCATACTACTAAGACAATTACCTATAGTTTTTCATATGAAAAAATTCAAAGTAGTCACCAGCTAGCCCATTACTGTCCTACAGTGCAATTTTTTTTAATCTAAAGTCCCAAGGAACCTTGTGTTTTCCTTTTATTAATTTATAGTATTTAGGGTTGTAACATTTAAACTGGGTTGGGTTGCAGTTATTTTTAATATATGCATGCTTAGGAATCACAACACTGTACTAAAATTATTTGTAACAGCGTGAACAAGAAAAATTACAATATTTTTATGTATTGAGTAATTATTGCATTAAAATGAAAGTCATTTAATAAAATTAATTCCATAATCTTTTGATATCAAAATTTCTATTAAAGATATTAATATTTTTCATCAATATGAAAGAGCTTCTATTTTCATTAAATTCAAAGAGAAAAATAGGAAAAGAGATATCAAGGATAAGACCCCACAGGGAAAATAATGCTGATGCTAATTAAACCGAGTGAAGCATTTTCCCTCTTTAACTCCTAAGAAAGTTGATAAACTATAAATGCAGGTGAATATAAAACATGATTCGATTGCAACAGTTAGATGGGCTAATATGTAATTGGATCAGATCCCTGCTGGAAAGAGTAAAAAGTGAGTCCCTTTAGGATTGTATAGGATGTGAGTTTTTCCCTGCAAGCTGTCCTTAGGAAGACAAAAGTACAGATCCCACCATTCAGTGTTTCTAGTTTATCATGAGAATAGAAATAGCCTATCCAACCCTTCTGATGCCTTTTTGTTATATCCTGAGCAGGCTAGACAGGATTGGGATTCCTGCCTTCTGACGGGTTTTGTCTCCACTTTTTGATTGACTAATCCCTGAATTGACTCCACTTCCACCTGTTTCTGGGGTCTTCCTCTCTTGGAGCCCTCTGCTGGCTGCTGCAGCAGGAGGTTTCTGACTTAAATAAATCTTGCTTTGGTCACTGTCTTGTGTGTGTGGAAATTCTTCTGAGACAAGAACCGAGGTTGCCTTTCTTAGCCACTGTATTAGTTGTTGACTACTACAATGTTGCAGGAAAACTGGTGCAATGAGTCCGGGTGTGTGTCCTGTTATGTATGGTAATTTATGAGACCAGACACAATGTGAGAGTAGAAGAAGTGAAATTTTATGTAAGTAAGAAGAAGAGAGATTCCTAACAAAAGGAGGGGTTGGTAGAAAGACCAAGCTACTGAGGTCCCACAGCCTAGGAGTGCTTTTATGTCCTTAACACGTTTTCTCAAGGACCAAAGGTAGTGGTTACATAGTAGTTACTGTGAAGGCCTGGGTTTTGATTTTAAGATTCATTGTATTTATTTGAGAGACAGAATTACAGGGAGGGAGAGAAAGAGGCAGAGAGAGAGAGAGAGAGAGAGAGAGAGAGAGAGAGAGAGAAGTCTTCCATCCACTGTATATTCCCCAAATGGCCACAATGTCCAGAGCTGGGCCAGGCACAATATCCAGCTCATGGGTGCAGGGGCCCAAGTACTTGAGCCATTTCACTCTGCTTTCCCAGGCATATTAGCAGGGAGCTGGATCAGAAGTAGAGCAGCCAAGATTTGAACCTGCACCCATATAGGATGCCAGTGCTTCAGGTGGCAGCTTAACCTCCTAAGCCACAGTGCTGGCCCCTGGGGGGGCAGTTTTAATAGAATACATTATTGCTTGTTTTTATGGAAACTTGGATCTTGTTATCAAAACCTAGATCTTGTCATCGTTGATAAATATTTGTTAAAAGGGGCTTGCATCCTGTTCTGTATAGTGTGTGTGCTGTCAAGGAGCTTCGGCCTGGTGTTAGTCTGGACTGCTTTTAGTCCCAATCTCCCTCACTGTCACAATATGCATCATGGGGCTGGTGTTGCGGCATAGCAGTTAGAGCCGCTGCTTCCCGTATGGATGCTGGTTCTATTCCAGCTGGCTGTTCCTCTTCTGATTCAGCTCCGGGTTGGTGGCCTGGGAAAAGCAGTGAAAGATGGCTCACGTGCTTGGACTCCTGCCACCCACATGGGAGAATTGGGAAGAAGTTCCTGGCCCCTGGCTTTGGCCTGTCCCTGTCCTGGCTGTTGTAGCCATCTGGGGAGCGAACCACCAGATGGAAGATTCTCTTTCTCTCCCTTCCTTTCCCTCTCTGTCTCTCCCTCTCTCATTGTAACTCTGATTTTAAAATAAATAAATACATCTTCAAAAAAAAGCAAGATGATGAAAATACTAAAGAAGATAAAGTTCATGTGAAAGTCATTTAGAATGGTAATGATAAATTATTCAGTCCATTTTTCATTATGTGAAATCTTGTGAAAATTCCTAATTATCACCATATTCAGGTCTCTGTGTCTCCCATTTTCAGTTGATATATATTATTTGTGTTTGTTTATATAAAGAACATCATCTTTTATAACTAATTTATGCTTTACACCATGTTGAATTTAATACATAACATTAGTTAATATTTCCAGTATAGAAGATCAATGATCAGGTCTATCTTTCTCTTTATAGTAATATTCCTAAAGAATATTTAGTAACACCTTAGCTTTGTACATCTGTGGAGTGTGTATGTGTCTATGTGTGTATGGGGCAGAGGTTACCAAATACATACAAAGTAACAATTTGAGAAATCCAGATAAATTTATAAAATCTAAAATAATTATTTAATTAATGGACCCAGTCACATGGTTACTGTTAACTAAACTAGTAATTAACATTGTTGACACAGTGACTTTTTCAGTCAATCCACAGTAAACTTACTAATTGAACTCAAGACATACATATGTTTATACAGACCTTGCCTATAAAGATGTATACATGTTTCCCATGTATTTCTAGTTGCTTTTTAAACCTTTAAATTAAAAATGATCTTAAAATAATACTTTGTAAGATAAGACAGAAAAATCTTTGAATTATAAGCTTCTTAAAGAATTTTGTGAAAGCTCTTTAAAAAATTAAATATCTGGTTAATCACTTGCAAGTACCAAGTCATCTATATTCATTACTAGTTGGTTTCATATCTTACCTTTTGAATTGAAATGATTCTGTGTGTATTCTTATTGTGAGTCATCATAGCAATCACAGGAGCAAGGATAGGAGCCTCAGAGCCATTTAGCTCCTTGCCTGAAAGCAGATCCAATTTACGAAGGACTCCCTATTCCCTGCCTTCTTTCTCAAACCACTCAATCCCGTTTCCTGTATTCTTCCCCACTCCACTCTCTGCATTCTTTTCCAATCAATGGGCTGCTGAGAGGAAGGCCCACAGAGTTTGAAAGCCTTGAAAAGCTAGCTCAGCTCTGGCCCCTACATGTCCCTTAGCTGGCTTATGTTATACAAACCTAAGACATATGCTATACAAACCTAAGACATAAGACATAAATTCTTGCTGTCTGACACATGCTCGTCCTGTGTGCATGCCAGTTTTTAGCCACCTCTGCAAATGTATTCCCTTAGATAAACTCACTTTGGATATGAATTTTTAACCTGTCTCCTCTATGTTCTGTCCTTCTTTCCTTACATAATCACTGTGTGATTCTTAAAGTTCTGGAAGTCTAGATTTCTATATAATGTACCAGCACACAGGTCTTAATATAAATTGTAGGGAAAGTTAAAAAGAACTAACAAGAATTATATTTTATTACTTTAATTCAAATTTCTATTCATACCCTTTTAGGAAAATGCATCCAATAAAGACTACTAAGTACATTTCTATATAACAAAACCAAGAAAACTGTATAGTACAGCCATCAAGATTGCATATTTGTAACACTAGCTATTCACTGACATAGATTATAATTCAGTTTCCAAAAGTACATTACATTTTTTGTCCATCATTAATGATCATGCATTTTTAAAATACTTAAAGTTTATTAAGTACATTCTAATTTTCTTTTCTGATGTTTCTAGTTTGTTGGTGGTCGATAGATTTAGTTTTCATTGCTGTATTGTTGGTTTCATGGCATTTAAACTCACTGAACTTTTAGGATTATGTTCTGGTTTTATCAAATATAGTTTTGTGAATCAGCATTTATAAAAGAAGCAGACATTGTTCCCAAAGAAATAGCATTGATGGGACTGTACTTGTTCAATAGCTTGGTATGAAAATTTCAGTTTTTTATGAATCATTTTAGAAGTCTTACTTTACAATGCAAGCTGCCAAGCTGAAGGCTTATATGTTAGAAGAATATTAATACCTACAACAACGTTTATTTGTAAAAACAAGTAGTATAAGGAACTGAAACAAAGGAGTTAAGTGTAGAATTAGTTTAGACATAATGTTTTATACATTTGTCCCCAATTTATTCAATTTTGAAGTATACAACACAGTAGTTAAACCATACTCTGTGCTTTAAATCCAATGTAATGTGTAAAGAAATTTCAAGTGTTAACAGAAAAGTAAAAGTGAAATTAAGCTGTTGAGTCACAATTTTTAAGAATTAAAATTTACTGTAACTCTTTTATTTCCTGTAGGTCCTAGGTGTCTCTGTCATACCTGATTTTAAGTTTGTTGATATCCTATTTGTATTCATAATGTACCTGAGCAAATACAAATGAAGTTTCCTGGACTTCAGACTTGAGGAGTGTGACCATTCATGAAATAATCCCACTGGAGGTGATACACATGGAAACTTTAAAAAGCTTCAATTCATTGGTAAATTAGAAAAGAAGAAAAAACCAAAAGGAAAAAAAAGGACTGGAATATTTTTCCTTGCTACAAATTAACAAGGAAATTACATGCTTAAAGAAAACTCACTGAAACATTGATACTAAACTTTGAATATTCATAGTATGTGAAATTTGAAATTTTCTGGGTGACAATATACTTCCTTGGCAGGTTTTATGGTTTGAGAAAATAATTCAGGAGCTAAAAATATTTGTAATTTGTGACATTGTATTTGGGAAAGGCCCCTAGTTTTTACATATGGAAGACAAGTTGATCATTATTGAATGTATCATTTGGCTTGTTGTTTAAAAAAATCCTAATTAATTACATACAAATTAATGCTAAACATCTTTTTGTACTTATTAAAATCAATTTAATCATATTCTATCTGAAAATTGTGTTTTTTAGTACTCTAAAAACTTAACAACAATTGCATTTATTATAAACGTGGCTTTTTATGTTGGGATGTGGTATCATATTTTGAGATAGCAGTGTGAAATAATAATAGTTGATTAAATTTCTTTTTTTAAATAAAAAGCTATAGAATGACAGGAAAAGTATAAGCCAGCCTGAAATTTTTCAAGGGATCATAAATTGCTATTGTAGATCTCTTTAACACTTCAAGAAAATAGTGCCACAGAAAAACTCAATTCACTCAGAAAACCAAATATCTTCTATCATAAAAAGTGCCATATCTATAAAACCATTACATAAAAAAGTAAGATTCTCCTTTCTGAGTTGACTCATATTCAACATTCTATTTACAAGTCCAGAAATAACCTTAATTAAATCCTACAAAAGACAAAGTGAACTGATGAAATCACATCCTCAATCACTGAGATTTTTTACTAGAAGAATCATTAACGTGGCATATACTCATGGGGAGACTCAGCAGGAATGGTGATGTGTAGAAACAAGAAGTCAAGATATTTTCTTTCTCTTAATGTTTTTTTTTTTTTTTTTTTTTTGAAATGCAGAGTTACAGACAGAGAACAGGAAGCAGAGAGAGAGCGAGAGCGAGAGAGAGAGAGAGAGAGAGAATCTTCTGTTGATTCATTCCTGAAATGGCTGCAAAGGCTGGGACTGTCCAGAGCAAAGCCAGGAGCCTGGAGTTTGTCCAGGTTTCCCATGGAAGCGGCAGGCTCCCAAGCCCTTGGGCTCTCTTTTGCTGCTTTCCCAAGCACATTAGCAAGGTGCTGGGTTGGAAGTAGAGTGGCCAGGCATCCATTTGGGATACCAGCGTCACACTCAGTGTTTTAACCTACACATCATGCTGGCCCTGCAGAGACCTTCATGGACACAATTCTCCTGAATCATATTTCTGCAAAGCTGTTCAGCAAAGAAACTCACTGTTTTTGTTGTAGACTCTATTTTCAAATATATTCATATAGGACAAACCTTAGAAGAAAAGACAACAACATAGTCTGATTATTGACAGTCTAGTATGATTAATGTCTCATTCTGGGAAAAAGCAAGGCAAGCTTTCTGCCCATTTCAAAAGATTCCTTTTCCCTAATCTTTGCCTTTCATTGAGTCAGATGCCCAAATAAATCTGAAAAATGAAGATGTAAAACCTCTAGGCCCAGGAACAGAAAAATGTGCTCAGAATAGATTTGGATAGACGTTGAGAATCATCCCATGAGAATTTTCATAATTCATTGATTTATTTATAATCTAAAAGAAATAAAATGTGTCCCTCATAATTACATTTTTTTAAAAGTCAAAATTTGTTAAACTGGTCTCTTGAAAATT